TGTGTGCGTGTGTGTGTGTGTGTGTGTGTGTGTGTGTGTGTGTGTGTGTGTGTGCGTGTGTGTGTGTGTGGTGTGTAATTGCATGCTACATTCAATGTATTAATTATAAGAGATGAATTGCTTGTGAGATCAAGATTATTCACGCAATTATTAAGACTTTTTTTTTTATTTGTATCATTCAAAAGCTGACTACTCAACAAGTGTGATTGTAGTAAACATCTGACATCAATAGCTGTAAATTGCGATACATCTCGCAAACACAAGAATCGCTCGTAAAAGGCAACTTTTTTTTACGTTTCTAGCAGTGAAATCAATGCATAAAATCGAAGTGTAATGCTGTAATTAGCTATATATAGCTATATATAATTGAAGCATTCAACAATCATTACATATATATTATTTACGTCCTCACGTATACAGTGTAAACATCGATATAGTGTATACATCTTTAATTAATTAAAGGTGGACTGTTAATTTTACAGTGTTCGGCAAAATGCTGAAAGCAAACGATAAAAATGACACAACAAGAATACTGGACGATGACTGCAAGATCCATATGCAGAAATCGAAAAAACTATTGAAACTCGACAAGCCGCAAAACTCGCAAATATGCATTGAATTTAATGATATCTGTTATTCAGTTCGTCATGGATTTAAAGGCAAGTTTATTTCATCATCTTATATTTATGACAATCGCGATTTTGTATTTTTGATACATATTAAGCAACATCTTAAATGATTTGCATATAAGAAATTGACCAATCATAATCGATTATTGTTCTCAAATTTGACTGTGACGGGATAATTTTTTACGGCTTAAGACTTAAAACTTAAGTTTTACGCATTAAAATCTCATAGATCTCACGCCGCTATAAAGGTCTGTTCTTCTTTGTGACTGAACTAGTATATTTGTACTTAAAATTAAAAATTTTCAAGTTTTTATAAAATTAACAAAAGTTTTCTAGAGCTATATTTCCAAATTCTTTCTTTATTTGATTAAATATATTATGTTTATATATATATATATATATATATATATATATATATATAAATAATATATCCGTCATTTCTTAGGAGATTTTTATGATTTAAGATACGCAATCTGGAGCTATTTAAAAATTAAATTTATTTACATTTGTAATTTATTGTACATATTAATTAATGTATATATTTTTTATATTTGTTTAAAATTGTTTAAAATTTATATAATACATCTTATTTTTGCAATTAATTTTATCCGGTACAAATCTTGTAATTATTGCATACGTAATACCATTATAGTATATGTAATACATAAAAAAACGTAACACTAATTGTATATGTGTAGATATATTAACATGTTATATAATTGCAAGAAAACATGAGAGAAATTAATAAAACTAAATCTATACAGGGTGTCTCATTTTAAATAATGCATTAAGATTTCTCGAAAACTATGGTAGATACGGAAAAATGTTTCAAACAAAAGTTGTACGGTTTAGAGGGAGACATAAGAAGGTACCATTGATTTGACTTTGGGTGGCATCGCCAAGATCAGATCAAGATAACATCGATTTTTTTAAATGGAACACCCCTTTTTTATGGCAAAATCTACTAGCTAATAGAGCTTTTCAAAATTATAAGAAAATATTTTTTATTAAATACTTTTTGAGTTAAAAAATTTGAAAGTTACAGTATCACTAACATTAGCATTACTCAAGGTGTCCGACTAACGGCTAAAATCTCTTGAATGCTGTTCAAAACATGTCCTGGATGTCGTTTACCAAAATCAAAGCCAATGGAGGTTGTACTTCTTATTTTTATTTTTACGTAAAAATAAATTTTTAGTGCAAAAATGAAAATAAGAGGAATAATCTCCAATGACCTTGATTCGACAAATGTTATCCAAGACATGATCCCGACCTTGACTTTAGCGACGTCACTCAAGATCAAATCAATGGTAGAATCATAGAACTTTTGTTTGAAATATTTTTTCATATCTACCAAGTACAGTTTTCGAGAAATCTTAATGCATTATTTCAAATGGGACACCCTGTATATATATATATATATAATTTGTAAAAAAGCAATTTGAATTAGTTACAAAAATTATAAACGTTTTCATTTTCTTGGCAAATCTCTATGTAAATTCATAAAGCTTAATGCTGGATGCGTGTAAATATAAATATGTAATGTATATTGCGTTTTCTATTATGTATATTACCTACAAATAATTAAAGAAGAACATTTACTTTGTAGAAATTGAGAAAAAAATCCTACATGATGTAACAGGGCACTTTGAAACAAAAAAAATCACGATAATTATTGGTCCTTCTGGCGCGGGAAAATCCACCCTGCTAAAAATCATATCGGGCAAACGATTAAATAATGTTAAGGGTACCATCATCGTAAACGGTGTTGAACGAAATAGAGGAATGTTTCGCAAACAGATATGCTATGTGCCACAACAATACGATTTATTACCGTTCCTCACAACGAGAGAAACTCTTTATATAGCGGCACGATTGAAACTCAACATTAATCAGAGCGAACAAGCGATTCGATTTGTTGTAAGTAAAATATAAATATATGATAAATATTATTAAATATATATAATTGTATAAATATATATTAATTGTATATAAATATATAGGATGTCCCATAATAACCGCCAAATATTTTGTGTGCTGATAAAGCGGACTAAACTGAGTCGAACAATTCTCAACCATTTTGCAATTTTCGCAATAGTTAACAAGATATTAATTATTAAAAATTGCCAAATATTGGTCTCCAATAATTTTTTACTCAAATATTATCAACTTTGCAAAAAGACAGCAAGAGATAAATATTTTCTTATTTATTTCTTATTTATTTTCTTCTCATAGAGCTCTAAGAATTTTTTTAGAATTTTTTATAAAACTTTTTAGTACCGCATTTTCTTATTGGTAATTATTTTTACTAACATGAGAAAATACGGTACTAAAAAATTCTGAAAAAAAATTCTCAAAATTTTATAAGAAGAAACTAAACAATTCTTATCTTTTGCTGTTTTCCTGTAAAGTTGATAGTATTTGAGTAAAAAAATTATTGAAGATTAATATTCGGCGTTTATTATTAATTACTAACTTGTTAACTATTGTAAAAAGTGCAAAATAATAGACTTTTCGCGTCAGTTTAGCTCATTTTACCAGCACATGAAATATTTGGCGGTTATTCTGGAACACTATGTATATATAATTGTATATAAATATATATACAATTATTATAGATGTTTTTATATATGTATATTGTTAATATTCCACCATACTTTATAATATACTTTATAGCTTGCTACGCAAGTAAATTTATATAAATTGATGCATCTCCCACATCAGATATTATTTCTGTTAGGTGAACGATATTGCAAAGAGTCTCGGCTTGTCATCTTGTCTAAACACATTGGCGAATAAATTAAGCGGTGGCGAACGGAAGAGACTCTCCATCGGCGTAGAAATGCTCACCAAGCCATCTATTCTCTTATTAGACGAACCAACAAGCGGTCTCGACAGTGTGACTTCTAATCAAGTACAGTACAGATTACTAATATTCAACTACATAAATAATGATTATTTTATAAGTTATACGATATTAACTGATATAAATTGATATTTATTTTTTCATTATATTTTTACTAATAATTTTATACAAATGCAACACTTCAGTAATATTGCAGCTATGTTGCTAAATAGATGAAATGTTATAACGTTTCGTTTTGCAATATATTAAGTTTTAATGAGCTTTTAATATACTATTTGCATTTATCAGCTTATTAGCATGCTACATGATGTGATGAGAGCAAATTGCACTGTAGTTTGCGCGATACATCAGCCCAGTAGTCAGATGATTTCGCTCTTTGATAACATTATGGTACTCAACCGAGGCAGATGTATGTACTGCGGTCCCAAGAGTGAGATCTTAAACACATACAGCATTGCTGGATTCACGTGTCCCAGCTTTTATAATATAGCCGAATATGGTAATGTTTATTTTACATATTCAACTTGATAAAAGAATTGCGAGTAGACAGAAAGATTAGAAAAAGAGCACATTGAGAATAAAACTGTATGCATTTTTCTTATACCTATATTTTTTAACTTTATGACTAGTTTGTTTTTATTAATTTTGCAATTTAATTTTTTAAAAAGATACATTCTATAGTTAATTTTAAAAAACATATATAATAAATTATTATTAAAAGCTGCCTAATTTTTTTATTTTGTATTTTAGTTTAGAAATTAAAATGCTTTAAAGACGTCATAAGATTTATTTACGCTGTTTAAGAGAAAACGACAATTCTGAGTGCAAAAAGTGCAAGTAACGCGATTAAGCTTGTAATTAACTCTAGCTATAGGCGCTCTTTTTTCTTTGATATATACCTGTCCCTGGGCCTATATTCTGTAACTGTTTTATACGCCTACTGACAGTTATCGGTGTAGTTGCGCAGATATTTTACATGGTAAAAAAGTTGTGCAACAACACCGACAACTGTCAGTAGGCGTGTAAAGACAATTACAGAATCGCGCCTCTAGGATCCCATCCATATTTGTTACCATGACTTGCGTAAAAATGGATATATTTCAATTCATTTTCTTTTCAATCGATTAAAAGAATTGAATAAGGAACAATATTCCATAATGTGTAAAAGTCAATAGAATTAAAGAGTTTTGAGATATATAGGTTCAAAAAAAAGAAAAATTCAAAAAACACGAAAAAATCTCGATTTAGTAAATTGCTAGGATTTCTGGGACTCTAGTGTGTATAGTTAGGATAAAAAAAATAAAGAACTATTGATATTTTGATTCTTCTCATTGCAGTGCTTGAAGTAATAACCGAACAGAGGGGTGGAGATTTAGAGAATCTATACGAGATCTGTCGTGATGAATACGAAAAGTTCAAATCATGCAGCAAACGTAACAAAAATGGTAAATATATATTGTATATTTTATTATTTAAACGTTTTATTCTTAATTATATATATCTCGGTTATTTTGTCAATTCATATGATAATCTACTAATAATTTATTAATAATTCCATTAATTAATAATTACATTTCTAATTTAAACAATAATCTTTTATTTTACTTGACGAAGGGCTTGATGATTATTAAATAATGAAAGCGTTAATATTTTATTTATCGAATATTTATATTACATCCTCCACATAAATATAAATTTTAACACAAATGCAGATTCTTTGATATATGAGATCAGGCAATGAGTGCATTGCGTACAGTGAGCTCTATACATACTGGAGTGAGCCTTCTCTATGCTCGGTGATGGAGGGCGATCAACTGTACGAGAGTAATAACCATGCGTGTTGGGTAGAATCCCTATACCAGAGTTTAGTCCTTAGAACATACATATATGAGAAGGGCCATAAGTGATTGTCGATCAGTGATAGGAATTTGGCCCTGCACAACGCAGAGAATTAGCCCCTTCACTTTTGCACCACCAATTGACGTCGCGTTCGGCTGGTAGAGAGCGGCGTCAATTAGTGAAGCAAAAGTGGAGGGATTGATTCTCTGCGATCTTGCGCGGAGCCAAATTCCCATCACTGTTGTCGATGGCTCTAACGCCTCCAACATCTATCTGTCCTTATCTGAATGCTTCACCGTAATGCGCATGTGTCGATTATTATTATGTAGGATTAAGAGTATTGTACATACTCTTATCTTAGAACATACATTTAAAGCTCACATATGAATCACAGCAAGCTTTCAGACGAGGACAGATAGATGTTGGAGATACTTTTATTACATTGGTTAGATATGGTATGGCTCTTCCAGTATGTATGTCTAAGGCCTGACCAGTGAAGAATTAAATGGTGTCTATCACGTGACTTGTCACAGATATTTAAGGCACTATAATATGAGTATTCGTATTCGCCATTTTTAATCCTTTTCTCATTCTCTTTTCCTCAATCCCTTGCTCTCGCTCTCTTCATTCATCGTTAAACTAAGAAAATTGAAGATTATATATATATATATACTAATTTTTTACTCTATGACAAAATTATCGACTTCATATCTATTAGATTATAACGTGCATGTAGTCGAAAATTTTCTCATAAGCTAAAAAGCTGATTCAACGATTCTGGTTCACCCTGCACATTGCAGGAAAAAGTATAAAGCTTTTCTCAAAATCAGGCGATACCTCCAGTATGTATAGAGCTCACTTGCATATGATATCTATCTTCTACAGGAATATAAATCTTAACAGAATACAGATTTTTTGATATATGAGATTAGGCAATGCATATAACATAAAATTAATATTGTTCGAAAATTATAAAAATAAAAAAAAACAAGATAATTTGTATAAATATGTGACGAACAATAATTCTTAATAATTAATTAATTTTTTATACATAGAATTAGATTCACCAAATAATTTCAAGCAGAAATTTGAAATGCAAAACGATACAAGTATAAATAGCACAATACAAAAAAAGTCCACATGGCAACAACAAAAGATATTATTTTTACGAGCTTTAATCTGCATAAAACGAGATAGCGTGAGTACCAATTTTCGAAAGTAATAGGCAAACAATTCGCTTGTCAAAATTAAAAAATGTTATTGTTTTAATTAATCTTTCAGGTTTTGACAAAACTAAGATTGGCAGTGCACGTTGTAATGGCGTTATTATTAGGAGCACTGTTTTATAATTTTGGTAATGATGCGGGAAAAATATACAGTAACATCTCCTGCTTATTTTTTTATCCTTTTTTTTTATTCTTCGCAAATCTCATACCATTTATTCAGATATGTAAGTAAAATACATCTTTTACATATATAAATCTAATACACAATTTATGTAATTATGTCAACAAATAACTGAATTATACGTTACTATCTATAATCTTTCTGATAATTTTAAGAAATTGATAAGGTCTCTTTGACATTCTTGTTCTTAATTTATCTCTTTAAAATTATGATAAATACGTAAATATTTTGTGAATTTATAAATAATTACACCATTCCTCATTTCAATTTTTGAGATAAATTTTTTAAAAGAACTTAAAATTTTCTTTGAAACGTTTATCTTTCGATGTGTTTTTGAAAATTCAAAATGACGGACACAAAATGACAACTCGAATGAAAAAAGACATTGGAAAAATTAATGATTTTGTGAATAAACGTGCACAATGTGATGTAGAGGTCTGATCTGTGTATACGTGCATGTGTACGTGTGTACGTGCCGTGCCGTGTGTTGACTTTACAACTTCGATTGCTAATAATTATCGTTAGAACTTTTGAGGAGCTAAAAAGTATAAAGACACTCGCGTTAATGTAAAAACAATCATCAAATATTAACAAGGTCAATGATCGAGTCAAAAACGGTGTTGACACAAATTAAAATAATTATTAACAAAAATAAATCATCGTACAAAAATATATTGAATATAAAAAGAATTGAAGAAATATGAAAATTGATAATAAATACGTTCGGCTTGAATAGCTCTTGAACTATCCAGAACTGCCAATAGAATTGACAGAATTGCCAAGAATTTTTCACTCCTTGGATGTTAAGAATTTGTCATATAAAAATTGTTCTCATTACATGTACTCATTACATGTTCTTGTTTCTACACGGAAAAAACACTATGGTTATACCATAATAGAAAATAATTTTTGCTCGTTAATACATTTGATTGTGATAACCATAAAATGGACGTGAGCAGTCATAACTGTTATTAGTGCAAGGCGTGCGTTCCTTTTTGTGTTAAGTAGAATTTTATCTTTATAGACAGAGGTCTATGCCTCGTTGTGACGATACATGAAGATAGTGGACGTATACAATGAATGTCATAGTTTGTGCTAAAATGTGGTTCTTTCTAATGCTCTTTTGCACAATATTACACATTACACGGTAACTCATGCAACTGATTCTGACTGATTTTATTTGATGTTCAACCGAATCGACTGATATGCATTTTTCCGAGGTTAGTATTATCCAGGATAGACGTGATGGGACTTTATTCCTTTTTGTGCTTGATTTATGAATCCCTTAGCCTTTCGTTGTATTTGATTTACATGAGTCCTTTCTGCCTCTTACGTTGGAATGCTTGATTTACGTGAATTTCCTTTTACCTTTCACGTAAAGGGTGCTTAATTTACATGAGACCCTTGTTTTTCACGTTTGAAGTGCTTGTGCACGTTATTGATATCATTTTTTTCCAATGTCTTTTTTTCATTTCAGTTGTCATTTTAGGTTCAGCATTTTGAATTTTCAAAAACGCCATATATATAAAAAAATATACATTTTAAGGAAAATTTTAAGCTCTTTTAAAGAATTTTATTTCAAAAATTAAAATAGACAGGGGGTGATCGATTTGACAGAGAATGTCCCATATACAGGGTGATTCAAATCAACTGCAGGAGCATATACGTATTCCTCTTGAAAAACTGGGTCGAAAATGTTAATATCAAAGTGTTGAGATGTTGATAGTTTTTGAATGGTGAGCCTTTGAAACTGTTCAATCATAGCGTATAAAATTCGCGCCGTCGCACAATTAAACAGCCGGTCGCGATCGCGCTTTGACAAATATATCGCTAAATGTCACGATGCTGAATTATTATTGAAAAGGATCCGTAAAATCTCTATTAACGTCTACTGCCGTATTCTTAAACTAAATTTAATTGACGAATAATTTCAATTGCAAATTCGATAAAACATTAAAAAGTGTGTGTTTTTGAGATACGCATTTTAAATAATAAACAATTATTAATAAATTATTAATAAATCAATATTAATTTAATCATCCAAACAAATAATATTAAAAACATCAGTTAACAAACATTTCCAAAACTTCTTTTCAAATAGTTCTGTCATAAACGTTTCTATCGGCGCGCTCTCATTAGTACAATTGAAAACATTAATATCTCGATTGTTATTACGAATATCATTAAACGATAAAGGACTTTTATGTTTATTTCGATCCCATCTACCTTCATGTGGGCGGTTGGAGAAGTCTCGCGGGACACCCTGTATATTGGACTGGAGAAAAAGTTCTGTGATATTTTGTTAGCTCAAAATTATATATTAGGTGTTGGAATTAATTCGTAGCGTTTTACAAGTGATGGGAAGTACTTTCATTAATGTATTTTTTAATGCTCATGTGAAATAAATAACATTCTTTCATTAAAAAACGCTACGAATTAATTCCAACATCTAATATATATAATTATATTTATATATATATGTGTGTGTGTGTGTATACACACACTTAAAAAAAGTATAAAATAAATAATAAAATATATATATATATATATATATATACTTCTTTTAAAAATAAAGTTTGGACTAAATATAAATGTAACTAAATATGTTGCTATTTGGTTTTTGTAAGTTAAAAAGTTAAAGATTGATCAAATTTTATAGATACTTTCCGCTTCATGTTTCCTGTTTATATCTTACTATATGACAGGACAACCAATGGAATATGAAAGAATTTTAAAGGTATGGAGCATTTGCCTGTTAATTACGATACTTGGACAAACAAGTGGGATATTTGGAGGCGTAGTTTTTGGTACTGAGGTATTTTACTGATGTATTTTTTTTTAATATTTACACTGTTAAAAAAGTTACAAGGGAAAAACTACACACGAAAGAAATGGTTGCGGTTGGCCGGTTGTCATGTCGAAAGCCATCTATCAATACATTTTTTGGTTATAAGAAGTAAATACGATTGTGATAACCGTATTTTTTCCGTGTAATATTTTAATAATTTAATATTACATATATTATTGATATAACATTATATTGGAAAATATTACAGACAATATTATTGCTATTATCAAATAACTATTTATAATAGCAATAAGAATCTTATTAGATCGTATATGTGAGAGGATAATCAATAGAAAATAAATAGGAATTAAAGACCCATAACGATCTCTAATGTCTAAATAATTCAATGTGAATTTTGGAGGGATTATTAATATTTCAGATTGATTGCGTTGAAAGTACCGACAACCATATCGGCACGCAATTATCATTTCTGAAATTAATTCATTTATATGAATATATATATTAGTTCAACATCTCAACATTCAGACCGTAGTGGCCCTTCGTATTTAAAGTAATGTTATTTAACATAAACGATCTTGTTTTCAATCTTATTGTCAATGTGAATTTGTATTCCTATACTATATACAGGATGTCTAGAATTTAAATGTCTGAACTTCGAGATCGAGTAGACTATAGAGAATCGATAAACTAAGAAAAAAATCTCCTATAGAGATATGCTCATTTTTGCTTTGTTTTGAAAACAAAATCGCAAAAAAGAAAACGTAGTTGTTTGGTCTTGCACTGCACTCTGAAGTATTATTACATTGCTAAAATCGTACACGAAAACAATAACAATAATTCCGTTTTCAGATGAAAACTTTTTTGTTTATTTACATTTCTGCTTTTTTTCTATAAATTTCCTATAAATTACTTACTCTTCAGAAGTTATCGAGTAAATTACTTCTATCACATGCCGCGTACATAATCTAACGTTGAATACAGGGTTGGCCATATTCGACGGAAAGATGTTTTTTTTTCAATCATGGGAAACGTCGTTACTCGATCTAACATCTCTTTCCCATGATTGAAAAAAAACATATTTCCGTCGAATATGGCCAACCCTGTATACTGACATGGTTTTCGTGTATGGTTTCTGCGACGATAATGCTTTTCTTCTCTCTATGGAGACGATGCGAGAGTATGTACGCCGATTTCCAAACAAAAGAGTGCCGATTGACGAGTCATTACAATGACTTTTAATACGCCGCAAGAGACCGGCTCATTTTCAATTCATCAAGATCCGTTAGGAGCAAATATGTAAGTAGAAGATCCTGCATCACTTTGATAACAATCCTAAGACTAGCGTCCGGAGAGCGTCAGCTGCATTACAATTGCCACGGCACAGAATCTGCCAAACTTTATGATATGATAATCGTCATATCGCCGTACCATATTCAAAAAGTACAGAATTTATTATCTCAGGATTATTTCAAGAAATTGAATTTTAGCAATTGGTTTCTTGAGCAATCTAACAATGATAATTCATTTACATTAAAAATAATCTGGATGGACGAAGCTACATTTACAAGAGGAGGAATTATTAATCAAAGAAATTATCATGTATAGGCTTATGAAAATCCTAGGGAAAGTAGATTCCAACATGAATTTGCAGTTAATGTTTGGCTCGGAATTTGGAACGACTCTCTAGTGGGATCATTTTTTTTTTACCCGACAGATTAAATGTAGCCGGATATATTGATTGTGAGTTTTTGGAGACTGATTTCTTTGATTATTTAGACATCCATGAAGACATCCATGAAGATATCTACCTACAACAACGGATGGAAATCTAGTTTCAACTCGATGGATGTCCACCTAATTATGAACTACTCAAGCTTAGCTAGACAGACATTATCCACGATGGATTGAACGTGGAGAAGTAGTACTTTGGCCACCCCGATCATCTGACACCACCGGACTTCTTTGTGTGGAGGGTCTTGAAATTGAAAGTTTATTTGTCATCAATCAACTTAAGAACAATTGAAAAATCGAATCGAGACTGCAGTGCACCAAATATTGTCAGATCAATGTTTGGCTGCAACACGAGCTGTCCATACTAGATGCAATGCTTGCATTGCTGCAAAAGGCCAACATTTGGAACAATATCTATATTAAGTATAAGTAAATAAATATAGCGTGAATAAGTAATAAAAAAGTACAAAAATGAAAACTACTACTTTTATCTTTTTTGCGATTTTTTTTCTAAAACAAAGTAAAAACGAATATATCTCTATAGGATCTTTTTTTTTTTAATTTATCGATTCTCTACACGCTCCCGAAGTTTAGACATTTAAATTCCGGACACCCTGTACATACATACAAACATATATGTATATCATATTTGATGATCATTTTGAACTGCACGCCGAAATTTTATCGAACTTGTAGAAAAGTGGTCATTTATCAATTTGTAAAAATTTCCGAAAAAAAGAATTGATATACTGGGTGTACATGGACTCGTACTCGTGTGTGTTACAGCGCCTCGCCACGATAAATGGCTGAACTTATAGGCGTGGAAAAGTGACATTTTGACGACGAAATTTGTGTTGCATGCCATCGTTGTTATTTGCTTAATTGTGAAAATGTGATTTGTATCATACTTATCGTAATTATCGACAAAAATTAAAGTTATCTTGAAATTTTATGTATAGAAGTATTTTTCATTTGTTCACTTTGTATAGACTCACTTTACGACCATTTATTGACTGTCAAGGGAGGAAAGGATAGTTTTCGTCGATTTTTACATGATTTAAATATTTTAAAGCGATCTCGTCATTTAAATTTATCCAAATTGTTTTTACTTACAAATGGCACGTAACATAAATTAACGTCATTTCTCGCTTCTGACGTCACGATTCTAACATGATTGACTCAGGAACCTTAAAAACGCAGCTAAATTACTGAAATAACATCACAATTAAATTTTGATGCTCAACAGACATCTATTAAAATATTAATAGCAATAAGTTATAAATTATTATATGACTGATTTATAATAATAAATTTTTCAGCTAATTAATTTTTTTTTTTAGCTTGTACCATATAAATTACAATTTGTTTGTTATTTAATATAAGAAGATTAAGCACAGTTTTTTTAATTGCAGTTAGGTATGTTTTTAATACCGATATGCAGTTTACCATTATTGCTATTCTCTGGATTTTTCTTGAAATTAAATGAAATGCCGACATATCTGCAGTCAATAAGCTTTTCAAGTTTTTTCAGGTAGAGACAATTTAACATATGCCAACTGTTAATTAAAAACTTTTCGCATTATATATATTTATATTTGTTATTATTTGGATATAATTTTTTTCGTATAAATTATTTTTTAATTTATTAAAAATTATTTCTGCTCTTGTGTAGAGACATGCTTTTATTTTATTTCCAATTTACTACATTTTTTTCAGTAAATTTGAAAAGCATAAAATTTTATTGTAGATTTGCATATGAAGGAATAATGCAGGCGATCTATCTTGACCGACCAAAACTGTTATGCTCTGAAGCCTATTGTCATTTGCGTTCTTCAAACAAAATTCTTTCATTAATGGGTATGCCAACAGTGCCATTTTACCTAACTCTGATAATACTTGGTTCTTGGATACTTTGTTTACACATGATCGTTTATGCAACACTTCTATGGAAAATTTATTATGCAAAAAAGTAATGTATTTAAAGTAATTAATTTTTATCTCAAATGAAAAAATATTCTTAAAATATTTTAAAGAAAAAATTACCATTAAATAAATTGAGAAAAAAAATACCGACTTTTTTCTGCTCATCCCTAACACCATTTATTGAAATATCATCTCTAATACCATTTATTGAAATATCATATAATAATATCATATATTATTAGAATTTTATAATGCAATTGACTCACTTTAAAGGAATTCTTAAAATTGTAAAGACATACAAAAATTTTTTAAATTAATTTTTTAATGTCCTAGAAACTAAAAATCCATCTTCAATGAAATGCTAGCATTAATAGAAGAGAAGTTCGTTTTTAACTGTTTGTGTAATTCTACAAATATATCAATATTATTCTTAAATATATACTTATATGTGTGTATTAATATGTGATATTAATATGTGTATTTTGTATAAAATTTTACTTTGTTTTTTGTTGTTTTTTTGTTTTTATTTTAAAAAATTGGTTCGAAGAGCGCGTAACTGAGAAGTATATTTGAACCGAAATATTTCCAAAATTTATACAATTGTGTTTCATTTTTAATGCAATTGCGTTTCATTTTTAATGATAGAAAAATATGATAATTGTTTTTCTGATTTTTCTTTAAGTTTTGCTTCGTTTTCTGGGCTGAAATTCATTGCTTGATTAAATGTCTTGCGTATCATTTTATTGATAATTGCACGGAAGATTGAAAATTTTAAAACGTAACGCAATACAAATCTGAAATAATTAAAAAAAATAATACTATAGAAAAATATACGTAATTTGTAGTACATAATTGTATGATACAATGTATATTTAATATTCTGCTATTTAGAACTATTAACTAATTAACTACGTTAATAAATTAAGTTTATTTACAGGCTCACCTATAGCTTTTATAAATAAGCCATTCCGTGTAATTCATTGACGTATATAAATGCGTCATGTTTATATTTAACATATCCATTGCTAATAATGCCATCACTTTATAAGGTATATAGACCCAAGGACAGTAATTCAGTGGTTCGATCAAACATCTCGTCATGTGCTCCCATTCGGGTGTAACATCCTTAAAATTAGATATCATCCAATATTGATAAAAATCTCGAGTGCGTTGCTTTATTTCATCGAGACTGCCACGACAGAAGTTGTACCTAAAGATAAATTATAAAATATGCAAATTTTAAAGAGTACCTAAAATATTATAATTTTTATTATTGTTAAGTATATATACTCATTCTCCATCCCGAGATAATGTCCGTAACATCTCCACATATGACAAAAGGCTTCCATATCTTCATTAGTTGCATTATGCACTCCGATCTTTTCTGGACAGAGCAAAATTAAACTTATAAAACTGCATTGTGTGCCTGCCATTTCTGCGTTATTCATGCCTTTCGGCTTGTATGGCGACTTGTACATTATGGTATAAGGATGTTGTCCGTGTTGTTCAAGTGGACATGCGGCGAAATCTTTTAGAAAAAGTTTGCGATCTGGACACCACGGCTCCGCGATTTTGGACTCGTTATTGATTTGCTCGTTATCGAGCTTGTGCAATTTTTCTTGAATCATTAAATGCATTCTGCGCGCAAATTGCATGTCTTTATAAGCTGGCGTTCCTTTAATCCAAGGCTCTCCGTCGTACCAATTAAAGAATCGTTGTATGGTCGAGAAATATCTTATGGAAATTAATTATAATCAATTAAAAAAGTATACATTAATTGATAATATCATATCATTAAAATTAGCGTATATGATATAATAAAGTTTAAAATAAACACGGGATAAATATTAGATAGTTTAAAAAACTAGCAGATAATTTCGGGAAAAATTGGTTTACAATTAGCAGTCAATTTCGCTGCTCAATTTAGTAAATCTTTCTCTCTCTATATAAATCAAAGTATATGTATCCAGTAACAATTCAGATTTAATTGCAAAGTACTAAATTAAAAAAAGTACCTTTTAAATCCTAAATATGGCGTATGAGAACGCTTTGATATGATTATTGGTTTTAAATTCTCCTCAAAAGAATACACGTGCATAATACCTAGTATTTTGGTAAAGATAAGTGAAGCGTAATTTTCACGCACAAATTTCTGTCCCCTGCGATATTTATCCATGTCCAACCATTCTGGTATTTCCACCAGTGATCGACTGTAATTTCCTTGGCTAAAAGAAGCTGGAATGAGGTTCAACAATGACTTTGGAACGTTTGGAAAGAATGTAGCGATGTTCTCATTTATCCACACACATTGCTTCTGTACAGTCCAGGTGTCGAAGTCGTTTGGAAATAATTCTCGATCGAACATGCTCTTCAACATCATTACGTATCTACAGTCATTTGAACTTTTCATACTTATAAAATCTTCCATATTCGTAGACATGCTATTAAAAACCGTTATATTTCACAGAAAGATTCGTTATATGCAAACGAAGGATTGATGACTGATACTGAGCGACTGATGGTCTTCGGAATGCAATGCATTGTTCTACTTGCCTCGAATCGGGCAAATAGAACAAAAAGATGATGTAATTAAAATTTGAAATGATGAGGTACTCCTTCAAGCACTGGGCGCCTGCGACATTTCTGCGCGTCTAGACAAATGAAGCAACTATGAGCAGTATGATGCAATTGCACAGTCGAACGGTCACGTTTTTCAAAAATATAATCGAAATGACCAGATATAAGAGGAGACGTCCGATCCGCTCGAGTGATCTCACAAGACTCTTCTGATTATCAGTAAAAAAAGTAATTCAACGTTGATTTAATGCCAATTCACTGTTGACGAATCTCACCCGGAAACCGTGAGGTCTCGCGGAAGGGGGCGGTGTTTATAGTTCCTTCTTATTTGAATACTGATGCTTGAAAAGCAAAATCCAAATCACTGTCAGTATGCTACGCTAATCAATATTAAATATTATATTAATATTAAATATTATAATCACTAAACTACGGATATCTATGCAAAATACTTAAATGAATATTTTGCATAAAATGCATATTTTGTATAAATTGCATATTTGCATAAATTGCATATTTGCATAAATCATATGCAATTTATATGCATGCATGTTATTTACATAAAATGCATATTTTGCATAAACTTTATCAATTTTATAAATTTTATCAATTTTCTTGAATTTTCTAGTCGGTAAACTATGTGAGAAGCTTGCTAAACCTCATCTACTTTTGTCTCAAGTCCTGGTCTGGAGAGAACCAATCATATCACTATTGCTCGCTTTGTAAATTTTAAAAATATAAAAATTTTGTGGCCAAGAGAATCCCATGAGTTTTATTACTTGTAACAGATACAGCTGCATATATGTTAAAAGCTGGAAGAGGTCTTAAAATCTTCTGTCCAAACATTATACACCTAACGTGCTTGGTGCATGGATTCAACAGAGTGGCTGAAGAAGTTCGCCTTCATTTTTCTCTTACTACTGTAACATCTCTCTTACTACTATAACATCTTCAGTAAAAAAATTCTGAAAGCTCCACTTCATATAGAAGAATATCGAGCAAAATTGATAAATATTCCATTACCATCTAAACTAATTTTGATGGAGACTATGGCTTGAAACTGCACTTTTTTATGCAGATAATTTAATATAGTATTCGAGAGGTATGCATTAATTAAATTTTTTTTTATTCAAAAATTAAAAATAAAATTAAACTTGATAAAATAAAATTGTGATTTGATCACAGATTGTTGAGTCTTTCAATTCGGAAGATGTTACATCGATTGTTTCAGCGAAGAGTGTGCTTCAAAATTTACAGCTTATCAGAGATTTATTTTGCATATCGTGCATATGCAGAGTGCATCACGAATCCGGACAATTCGAATAATTTCTTTAAATAAAATGTTTTTAATGAAAAATTAAATATTGCAAAAAATTCTTTACATGGCACTTGGAGAATCCCTGTAGAACAACACAATTATTCGATATATCCTCAATTAGCTTGAATAGGCCTCTATTCTTTGAAGCGTTCGCACGCATGCTATAATGTAGCGCTGTCCATGCCGACGAATGCTGTCTCAATAGCGATTCTTAATGACATCAAATTGGATTTGTGATCCTTTCAACTACGCTCCATATGTAGTAGTCCAAAGGATTTAAATCTGGGCTGTTGAGAAGCCATTCCTTGGACCAAAACATATCGACGTTGTCTGAGAGCCAATTTTGAATCAAATGACTCGTATGAGGTGCATACGTTCTGCTGAAAAACATATGATCGTCCGAACGCTACAGTTTCTATCCACGATTTCACTACATCCATCAGAACGCGTAAATACACTTCTTTTGTAATAGTTTCCCCTTTTTTAAAAAATGTGGTGGCATGACACCCTCACTAGACACAACATCTAGCATGTGAACATTGGCTGGAAATTTCATTTTGGCAACAATAGGAACATCTTCGGAGTTGTAGGCGAGCCATCGGTCATTCCTCCGTTTGATTTTGGCATCAACAGTAAACATTTTTTTTCGTCAGAAAAGAACCTGATTCATTCCGATGCTTCGTTTGTCAAAGAACATAATAGCAGATTGTAGTGAGCAACTCGGCTTGTCCTGGCAGCCTCAGAGAGCATTTGTCGTATCTTTAATGTGTACGAAGATCCTTTAATTTGTATCGAAGGTCCTCCTCGGCAATTCGACGCATTGTTGGTTCGCTTACACCAATAATCGACGCTAATTTTCGCAACGATTGCCCTAAATCATCCGAAAGCACTTGAACCTTTTCAAAGCGAGGGTCCTCATGGTGCGTTCTTTCAAGTGACTCTTCCTCGCTGGCATACTGGAATCTTCGTTGTTCTAAAGCCGTATATTTTGCCACAATGTCATAAACGGTTGATCTCGGGTATCCAAAGAAAAGAATTATTTCCATTGCTGAGCGCTCAGCGCGAAAGCCTTCGATGATTGCGGCTCTTCGATTATACTCCGCATTTTGTTTCAACATCGCCGCTATTTTGAGAATATGACTGTTTACTAGAAGCCAACAATAACCTCTGGCGGAGGCACAGTATAACGGAAAATTTAAATTGAAATTTCTCCGAATTTTGGTAACACATCCTGTATGCTGCATAAATAATATATTTTTTGTGCATATATTTTGCATATCTCGATATGTATCTATCAATAAAAAATTGTTAATTCCTAATCAAAAATTGTTAATTCCTGAACCTGATCCAACCATTATTGGGATCTAATAATCTCAATTCCCCGCAACTCGCGGTCTCGCGTAAAATAGCTACAGTAGTGTCGTTGCGCGTAGCTTAGCGTCGAGACACTACTAGTGTCTCTTGATATATTTCACGTGTTCCAAACGGTCGACTCAAATTTTTAATAACATAAGATGAATATGTTAGAAAATAACATAAATATCATGTAAAAAATTAACACAAAAAGCGTAATACTTTGGCACAATTTAAAAGCAAATTTTATGTTAAATGAACACATTTATAATGTCTATGTTGCTCCGGTTTCAGTTTTGGTTTTTTTTTACCAGTAAAGAAATGTAAAAATTATGGTTTTTTAATAGATTTTTTTTTCTATTCACTCGCTTTATTTTATTTATTTTTTAAATTTATTCTAATAAGGAAAGAGGGAGGAGAAAGAGAGAAAGAGGAGAGCGTATTCACATTCAATCTAGAGGAACTTAGTAGAAAAAAGGCGTCAATTTATGAATCACGTGACTCTAAACAAAAATTACGTAAACATTATTTTAAGCATTTCTTTCGGTCCTTTCTTACAACTTATTTTATCTTTATAGATAGATCTCACTTATTAAATAAAGTTTATATGTGTATTCTTTAATTTCATGACTTAGAATAAATTTTTGCAACATGTTGGTAAGAAAAATCCAAATGAAAAAAATGCTAGTATCTTAAAAAAAGTTTACATTAAATATGTCTTGCTGTCTCGCCAGATTCCTTATATCATATGAAGTGTTGGAGGTATTTGTATTTCGGTTGTTAAGAGAGCTGGCGACAACGATACTAGATTGAACATTAGTGGTTAGGCCGAAGAACCGGGCAAAACAAAAATTAAGAACAAGATCAAAGATTAATACGGGATTTACAATAGAAATTTTATGATCGTAGCGGTAGAGTTAATTCGTAGAAAATCGACCAATCATATAGTCGATTATTCTTCTCATATTAGATCATAATTGATTAATTTTTTTGTACGATTTAAGACTCTACGACCGCTACGACTTCTATTGTAGATTTTGCGTAAAAAAATAGAAAAAAAACTAAAAAAAATCGCAAAATTTTACCGATTCAGTTATAAATAGTTTTGGTATTACAAACTTTATAAATTTGGATGCAGTTTCTATTTTGATTCACTATAAAATGGATTTCCGAAACTGTTCCTAAAAAATTTTTCGTGCATGAATATGTATAAATATTCATAAATGTGCATAATCGTATATGAAATATGTCCATTCGTTCCTTTTTTTTTTTGTAAAATTATTTTTAGTGTAATAGAAATATTAATGTGAAAACATTAAAAATAATTAAATAATTAATTTTCACACTATTTATCTCTCTGTCTATAAATGTTCATGAAATTCAAGGACTACAACTGTGAAGTTTTTAAATTTTCTGACATATTCTATAAATAAGAAACAGGTTTTGCAAAAAAAAATTTAAGATTTTTTTTGTGAAGTTATTCATGATTGTACATTGCAGACAGAAATTCATAAAAACGTCACTCATGCAATCGTTCAAATCATTATATCGTCGAAATTAATTATACAAAAAAATGCAAAAAACCAGTTACAAAGTACAACACAGTGCTTTCCAATTGCTTAACACATTTCAACACAAATGTACATAGGAATGCACAAAGTGTATCATTGTGCACGAATTGGAACAGAATGTGTACGCTGTGCATGGTTTCAGATACAGTTAGATTAAATGTAGCTTTTTCCATCTGTATTAAATAAAAAAAAATAATAAAAGGACTGGTCTCACTCAACGTCTTCCAACTTAGATCAGAGTGACGCCATACGGATATCACTTGTGATTGGTCCGCTATGTTTCAGCCATTCCCTCCAGTTTTTTAAACGCATTATTTTCTAAATTTTGAATTCATGCTAAAAAATGCTCAAAAATTGTGACAAATTAAAAAATGATAATAAATAAATATTGTATATAAAATAATAAAACTTTTACATATATCATTTATTATAAAATTTCATTTATTTTGTACTATTGCAATATATATATATTTGTATTGTACATTTTGTAATATTGCACATTACTTTATACAAAACGTTATTTATTGCACATTATTTGCGCTATTAAATGCGCTAATTTATTATCCATTCTCTGTTCCTACATTTTAGAAGCAAAATGTATCTGTAATAATATAAAAGAAATAAAAAATTCAGAAAAATATTATATATGTATATACCATTTCATAAAATATTATATATTAAATATCGTAATTATCATATTATTTGATTTAGACTCACAATGCAATGATATATAATTG